ATACCTTTCTCTTGTAATAGCGTGGTGGTTGAAGAGAGATCCCCTCATATGATTGTAAAGTGCGTTGGGTGTACAGCAATACAATGAAAGCGCTATATAAAAAAAATGCCTCAAAAATGCCTCATGCCAAAAAAAAGTACAGTACGGACTTTCCTCCATCTCATCCGTTCTGCTTTTTTTGTCACTCCTGAAACTTTGCTGCATGTAAGTTAGGGTTTGTGGCTGTTGGTCCTGTTAGCAGCACGTAAAACAAAACTTTGATTCAAATTCTGAATTGATTATAGCCTAGAAAGCGAGCAAATGGCGCGTATCAGTAGCGCTTTCAAATATAATTAAAAGCTGTCACTCACTTCAGTTTATCGCAATCTCACGATGTTCCTTTATAATCAGTGAAGCTTTCTGAACTGCAAATAATATCTTATTTACATCGTGTCTTTGTGTGGCATTTAGCACTGAGTGAATTCTGAATGCATGAGAGGTGGCAGCCCAATCTATTTATATCTTTATTAATATCTTAATATATTATTATATCTTATATTAATAATTTGCACACACAAGCATTATCCGGCTCCGCTCCTCCCGACCGCAGACTCAGGTTTACAAGCCACTTTTCCTGCGTTTTTCAGTCAATTCCTTGACTTTTCCCCACTCATGAACAACACATTTTCGTACACGATAAAAGCTCCTTGTGGTTTCTCGGTTTCGCCAATTTGAGCATCCATAAACAACTCAAAACACTGGCATTTTGAGTTTCTGCTAGTGATTTCTATGGAGAAGAATCACTTCCTGCCCTCCAGCTGCATTTCGCACGTCATCAGTGACGTCATGTGCAAACAACCTATTACGTCACCTCCACTAGCGACGCGGCCGCCATGTTGGTCCGGGCAAACTTTTAAAACAGGTCAACTTTTTAATTTATTTTGTTAAAGCTTTCGTTTTGTATTATTAATTGTTATATACATGTATAAGGGGTGCTTTGCATGTAATGTCACCTCTTTGTAGGTAACAGGGACGCGGAAAGTAGGGGTGCTGAGGGGGCTGCAGCACCCCCTGTTTTCACATGGTTGCAAATGCAACGCCAAGTTTGTTCATTTAAATTTATTCAATTTTAGCATTTAATAATTTATTTGTAATTATCTCTGAAATGTAAATTGTAAGTGGGCCATAATAAACCCATGTTTATCTTTATAAACATGATTAATTTTACTTGTGATGTTTTCTATATGGGATGATTAGCCTAATCCTCATGAACACGTGACGCTAGCACGCAAACACGGACACACACAGCACCCCCAACCGAAAACATCTTCCCGCGCCCCTGGTACGTAATGTTGTTATTTTCTGTACTTTTATCTTTGGTATTTTTACCTAGTATAAATAATAATAATAATAATAATAATAATCTAAGCTTTTACGGTTTATGACATGATGGCCTCTGCCTTTTGTTCATGTTTGTTTTACCAATGTACAACTACCAATGTAACATTCCATACATTTTAGAAAGTAAACCTTATGTTTGTGATATTTAGCAGTGAACAATAAATGAAATATTAAATAAATTATTAAAATGAAAAATATCTCAACCAGAATTTTGTTGAATTTTGTATTTAAGCAAAATAACAACATATACAAATCAACCACAGTAAAATAATGAAGAATAATTTCCACAATTTAACAGTTTTAATTAAAAAAACATCTTACACTATATTGAAAACACATGAACT